GAGGGGGAAAGATCCCGAGTCCTCCCCCAGTGCTGTATCATTACTTTAGAAACACTGATCAAAAAGCCTGCTGATGAAGTAGGTGGCAGGCCAGATGGTTTAGGTCCCTTCTAGCTCCGTGTGGGTGGCTTCACCCTGAATAAAGTGTGAAGCCGGTAATGTCATGGAGAGGGTGGGATGACATCCCCTCGGGGATCAGACCACCTCGGCACCCCTCACAGTGACAGAAATCTCAGGCATCGCCGGAGTTGTGTAAATTGCATTCGTATTTAAACACGACTAAACCAGATCCCCAGGTGTTTCTCTTGGAGTTGACGGTACTTTTTGATGTGATCCTTACGAATTGTAAATCTGAGCTGGTTTAAAAGTTTCTGGCATTGATGTACATTTCCATGGACAACAAATGCTGCAGGTTAGCAGCAAAATAACCTTTCTCAAGGAGTCTAAACTGTCACACCAGCTCGCCAGCTCCTATAATGACCATGCAGGTGGTTAGAATTTGGGGACACAGCATGGTGCCACCCTAGGCTACACTTGGGGGTGATTCACTTGCATTTGACAAGCTGAGTGAGCAGGCTCTTTACCTCTATGCTGAAAGGCTGGATTTGAAGGATGGGTCGAGAACATGGTGGGTCACTGGGTCTTCTCAGGTCTGGATTTGTTCTGGAAGACTAAGGTCTGAGCTTCAATGAGCTCTTGCCCTTGAACTTTCAGGCAGCCACGAGGCTGGCTCCCAGGCTCAAGACCGCTCTGGGTTAGCCTTGGAGGTGGGTGATGATGACCCTAAATATCCCTGTTCTCCCCTGTGCTCTTAGGAAGGTCCAATAACGCAGTGTGCCTGAAAGAGGCATCCTTTATTATAAATGCAATGATATCAGGACTCTGGTGTAAGATACGGTCTAAAATCGCTTAGTCTGTCCACGTGAAGGAAGCGATGTCTCGATTTTCCCCACGACACGTTTATTCCTATTATGTCTTTGTCCTCAGATACAGATGCTAAGGTTTTCTGTGTGGGAAAATTCCATTCTGAGGTCAGAGGACACTCTAAAATACCCCAGTACCTACCAGTTTTTTAAGCGAGGATTTTGCCATGTAAGAGCTGAAACCACAGAAATATTGCCCTGGGACAAAAAGTCACAAGGCAGGAAGGAGGAGGGAGTGCGGAGAAGCTGGCAAAGGGCTTCAGCACGAGGCGGCTCCCTGTGCTGCCTTAAACCGCGGGGGCTCGGGCTGCCTTCTCCGAGGGCACAAGGCTGCTCTTTGCCAGCCCCTCATCACAGTGGTCTCGGCAGCGAAAGCAGTGAGAAAGTTCGATTACAGTTATTCGAGGCTCTGGGGCGTGGCCTGACAAGGAGCAGAGAGAGCTGGGTAAGGCTTCAGCGTATTTTGATCAGAGGCAGGGCGAGTTTAAGGACATGCTATTTCTCTCTTCAAGTCTTCCGCGAGAGTGATTTCTGGGGAGAACTGGCCTCTTTCCCTTCCTTGATCTCAGTTGCCCAGGCAGTGCCCAGGTGCGTGCGGAGCTGATGGCCGTGGAATGTAAACTCTGCTTTTCCCAACAGCTGGACCCGGTGGCCAAAGGCTGCCTCTGCCCACACACAGGTTCTCTTTGGTCTGCACAGTGTTGGCCAAGAATCTGAGTTCATTGTCAACACTTAAAACGTCATGTAAAGTCCTGTTTCCAAGCCAGAAGATCTAGCCGCCCGGGGCCTGATTTCTGCGCGGTTCCGATTGTCTACAGCTGAGTCCCCCCTTGCAAAGGGGACGTGTTTTCTCTTGTTGGCCATGATCGCCACCGTTCTCTAGTGTCTGTCTTTTGCCTGATCTGAATCATTCATTCACAACCTGCCCGGCCCTTTTAAAGTATCTGCGCTATACCATCAGGAAGCTTCTAGTTAAAGATGAAGCGAGGCTCGCTTGGTTCAAAACCATTCAGCAGTGAATGCTTGTTGGGAACTTTAACGGGAAGGGAGACAGAGGTTTGCAGGCTGCCTCTCCTCGGGCACCAGGAGGCATGGCCGTACCTGTCGTTCCCTAACTACGTGCACGTCTAGTCCTCATGCGAACAGATTTGAAAGCAAGGTCCGAGCAACCCTCCGAACACCTCACAGGAGTTGCCCAACAGGTATATGACCATTCTATCCCAGGTTTTCTTTTGATGTTATCTGCATATGTGGCTAATTAGCTTTCAAATGACTAAAATCTTAGAAAGAAAATACGATTTCTTGCTTTAGCAGGGCCTGGGCTAGAAAAACACTGTACAGCACTATGAGTGGTTTGGCAAAGCTCAGAATTATCTGTGCAATTAATAAACTCTCTATGAGTTGCTTCCGCATTTTCCAGCTCTTGGGAATTCTGTGACTTTCTGATCTCAACCTGGTGTGCCTGAGAATTCTTCTCGTAAACAATCCATCACTAGTTCTGATAAGGGAATGAAAGTTATGGAGTTAGTGCCAAGGACAAAATTATTTTAAACACCACTAACCGCCTAAGAAGTCTACCTTCGGGCTTACATTCCACGATGTTAGAAATTTCTACCAAACAATACCTGCTAGTAAATGCAAGTTTGTGGTTCTGGTAGGTGGACTGGTAAGCTCGTCTTCTGGCAGAATCTATCATTTGACACTAAAAAATTTACAAGGATATTTCTCCCATTGCCTATAAGCATATCTATTAACATTTTTTTAGACTTAAGATATATAGGATGATTCTTAAAGTGTCTTTTCCCCCCACAATACTTTGAAAACACACTGGTAATGATCAAAGGAGTCACCATTGCCATCTTCATGCTCTGGTAAGAATCTTTCCATCTGATCTACATTTCTGCCCCTGCTTTGGAGGGTTAACTGAAAAGATAGCATCAAAACACTTGCTTAAAAGAGGCATAGCCCTTAGTTTGGAGAGCAGGAATTGCTTACAATATTAACACTTCCTGTCCGGTAAAATACTGTATTTTAAAAAATAAGCTACAATGTATAAAACCAAGGTCATTTCCCACAAAATGTTCATGTTCTTTGTGATTACAAAACACTGCATCTTGTAAAATATTTTGGGTTCTGGTAACTTGAGAAGTTCAGTACTAATGCTTATTATAAAAGTGGTATGTCTCTTAGAATTGTAGGAATCCAAGCAGTGTAATTCTTGTCTTATTTGGAAAATTAAGTTATAACTGTTATTGTATTTCGGATTACATTCGACACAACACACTACCATTGTGATTCTCAGACCCACAAGAAAAGTTATAAAATATGAGATTGTCTTAAAAAAAAAAGTACTATTTACAAATCAGGACCAGAAGTAAAAGTCCCACTTTGATTGCTGGTCCTATGATAGATACACCTGTTAAAGCATCCAGACCAGCGATTTTCAACTGGTGTGCCACAAGAATTTTTAAAACATGCAATACCTGACTATTTAGTCAGGGGCACTGACCTCTTTTCCCTTGATGGTCAAATAAAAAAATGACAACAGCCAACACAACAAGAGCCACCTGGCGCAAATGAATCAAAATTATACCATTTTTTCTGTCAGATCGACAAAAAATATATTTTTTGGTGTGCTGCAGAATTTTAGTAATTAGTTAATGTGTGCCGTGAGATGAAAAACGTTGAAAATCACTGATCCAGACCATTGGATATGGGCTTTTATCAAAGTCAGTCACAATGAAATACATTTCATACTTTGCTGGATTGGTGATACAATTGGTACCCAAAAGTGCTAATTTCATTTTACTTTCTTACCTGTGGTTTGATTAGTTACAATGGAAAAAGACACAGGAAACAGTCCCCACGGGAGGAACCCCGTAGGGAGCATCCCCACAGGTAAGAGGAGCAGGAGAGGCGCAGGGAGGTGTGCGTGCGGCCCGCAGGCTTATTTTCTTAGAGAAAGGAAATTTTCAGCTGCCCCATGTGCCCAGCGAATTCTCCAAAATGGTCCCACCCTCATTCATACCCGCGAAGCCTGCCACGTTTGCACCATTTGTGTGCACAGCATCTTCCCTGCGCTCCCCCAGGTCAGTGGGACAGGTGACGTGGTTGAGAGAAATTCTACAGAGTCATGAGAAAAAGCAGCACCTTGTCCAGAAAAGTCCATGGAAGTTGGCTCCTTAACCCACTAGCGCGGCAAAATGCCCAGCGTCGCTGACTGCCCCCCGCAGGCTCCTGCTCACAGCTGGGAGCCGGTCGCCCCTCCGGTGATGGAGGAAGAAAGGCCACGGGGGTGCATTCACAGGGACATCCTGAGAAGCCTTCCCCAGCCTGCGGTCACCCGCCAGGGACGCCTGTGGCCCCCACGCCGGCCCCCACAGAGGCTCGGCCACGGAGGAACAGCCCTTATAGCACCCCCCGCGGCCACAAGGCCGTCTCCCGTTCACGTAAATTTGTCTCGAACTGGTATCAGGTTCAATAAAAAAACTCCACTTTTCGCACTAGAAGGCGCTAGAGATGACAGTCTTTCTAGCCTTAAGCTCCTCCAGTTCTATTTTTCACATACCCTTTGGTTTTCCCTGAGGAAGTGAATATTGTTTTAGCATTTTGCCACTGTTCTCAAGGTGTTCTGTCCTAAATGCACCAGTCTCGCCACTTTTCTCTCAGCACTCGCAAGCGACAGCTGTGCTGTCATTTTTCAACCAAGCCCGCTGGAGGGGACGACGGGCTGCTTTCACAGGGGGCACCCGGCTCGGAGGCGCCCAGGGAGCGGGAGCCAGGTGCCCACGGGCCTCTTGTGTTTCTTCTCGGGTCCCCAACCCTCTTGCTTCTTTCTCCAAGTTGTCACGCTGCCTCCCACAGTCCGGGAAGGACCGAGGCCTCAGACTTCTGCCTGAGACGCCTTTCTGCGCAGCCCCCAGGACGGCCGCCCGTCACCACGAAATGCCTTCCTTGGAGACAGGTGAGAAACCTTTTCTGAAGGGAGGGGCATCGAGGGAGAGAAGAGCCAAGGCTACAACCAGCCTTATTTAGAAATACTTTGGGACCAGAACCCACTGTATTGAATTCTTGTTGCACAGACAGGTCTCTGGTCCCCATGATGGACGGGGCTGTGGCCCAGCAGCCAGGGCGCCGTGGGACACCTCTTCCCATCCACCTCCGCCCTCCCTCCGCCAAGGGAGGGCATAAGAGGACCTGGCACCCAGAGATGACATAAATGAATGTTGGGCTTAATCATTTAGCCCCAAAGTATAACAAAATAGTTCTACATTTTTAAAATTTAGCTTTTACAATCAGTGTTGTGTATTGCAATTCATAGCTTTCTGGGTGGCTTGCAAGAAATTGAGTTCCTTTTTTTCAAGGCCAGCCAGGCGAAGCTTGGTGGTCCCCTAGTTACCATGTGCCTGGGTACAAGGAAGGGGTGCCTGCGTGTGCAGGGAGGTGCTGAGGGTGTGTGCACGCCTGGCTGGCAGTAAGGAGCCCCCGCGTGGGCGGGAGGCGTGGGAGGGTGTGTGTAAAGAAGGCGTTAGAAAGGTGGAGAACTCCCGGGGAAGGGCCCTTGGCTCTACCTTCTGCTTGCACCTGTGCATCGGCTAACACCCAGGTAAGGGCTGAGCTTGGCTCATGCACGTCCTGTGTCTCCAGGAGAGCCACGGAGCCTGGTTGCAGGGCTGCTCACAGCAGAAGTCTCTCCCTCCTTGTGTCCCAAAGGTCTCTGTGTGTGGGGGAGGCAGTGGATGTAGCCCCTCATCACTTTAATCATTGTTGACTAGTGACTTAATCCAAGGATTAAGAGCCAGGGAGCATTGCTGAAGAGGAAAAGCTCTGCCCCAGGGTTGCACCCCAACCACCACCTAAGTACGTGGAGAATCTGCTCAGATGGTTGACCAGCCCTGGACTCACTGGGCACTGCACCCAAGCTGAGGCCCTGCGCTAGGCCAGGGCACCGCCTCACAGCGGAGGGCACTAGCGGGTGAGCAGCAGGCCACCGGGAAGGGGAAAAGACACGCTAGGGCAGAGGGTGCAAAGCCACTTCTGTACTTTAAAACAACGCCCTTTTCTTGGCTGACCTCGTAAGCACTAAACATGCATTATAGCTGATGCTGTGGCAAGTGCTGATGGATCTTCGTGACCTGAAATTAAATGAAGCTCTTTCTCTGCTCTCTTGAAATAAGTGTTTTTAAGGAAAAAATAAAATAAGTGAAGGAGGAAAAAAGGATCTCTTCCAGGGAATAATGTTTAAAAAGTCATGTGAGAGTTTAAAAAAATCAAACTGCCAAAATATAAGAATGTAGATTGTGGATATTACACTGCAGAACCTCCTTATATATAAAAAAGAGCATCTGTTATTCCTAGATGACTTCTTTCTACTCTTTAAAAAAGGGTGTATGTACAATCTCTAGACATATATTAAACTTTCCTCTGTGCAATTTCCTTTAACATTCCTATGGCTGATCCCAGGCTCCCGCCCCACACAGTGCATCCTATAAGGTGCTCGTACCTCTTTGCATAGGTAGAGGGGCAGCGACTCTTCAGCAGGGGAGTCGAGAGGAGGGCAGGGATCTCTAGGGCTTGAGAACGACTCCCCTCTCCCCACCCCACCACCACCAAAACCCACCACCAGCCACCCACCAGCCAGGTCAGGAAGCCCGGCACAGGGGGCGCAGTGCAAGCCCGCCCTCCTAGGCCGAGTGTCCTATGCCGACGCCCCGTTCCTTTTGGTGTTCTCCACGTTCCCTTCTAAGCCCATCTTTAACGAGCAGCTCCACTAGTTTTACCAAACAAATAAGGTTTGGATCTTCCCTTTTACCCCATAAAACATTGAGACTGTTCAGGAGCCCCATCTCCCAGACACGCGAAAGCCTCAAACCGACCGAAGTGCACTGAGACCGGAGGCCGGTGTGTGGCCCTCACGTGGCCTTCTGAACAGACGGGGGCGCGGAGGCTGCACTCTGCAGGCTAAAGCAAACCCACGGGGACAGTTTGAGCTCCTGATCTTTTCTCAGACCAGACAGTGTGGAGTTTTGAGGGAAAGCCCGACGACCCAGACACCTGGCAGTGACTTTGTCAGACAAGCGGCGACACGCAGACCCCAGCTGCCGTTGGCAGCATGTCCCTGAAAGGGGCGCCAGGCTTACCCGGAGGGCTCCTTGCGCCAGCTCTGGGCTGAGTTGAGCAGGTAGAGAAGGAGCTTCTCCGGGAAGGGCTTCTGCAGACCCCGGAGGACGTCAAGGTGTTTCCGTGGTGACAGCTGCATGTCCCGAGCTCAGCTCGGAGCTGGTCTGCTGGGGATTCCATCGCCAACCTCTTGTCGAGGTTCTGCCATCCGGGGCCCCGCAGGCCCATAGCTGTACCGTTTGGGGGCCATTCTCCAAAACAAAACAAAACAAAACAAACCAGAAAGACACAGAAAAGACACCCAGAGCTGCCCCAAGAAGCCCAACGGAACCGGGAAAAGATTATTCACATGAAAGCGGGAACTGTTCTTTGTACAAATGCTACGGAATCACCTGTAGCTTTTTTTGTGTCAAAAAAAAAAATCCCCAGAAATGGCATTTTTCAGAAAGCTTATCAAAATATGCCTCCTTTCTAGGTAAAACGGGCTTCGTTGGTTCCACTGCTGCGGATGTGCACAGTTTTCAGACCCAGACACACAGCGGAGAAAGGCGGCTTCCCTTTCCGCAGGCCCGGAAAATGCACTGCCGCTGCTCCAGGCGGGACTCTGGGCGCACCAGTGACCGCGTGACCTTTGTTTTCTTTTTTGCTGTAATTCCACCAACGTTCCTGGAGGTGCTTTTCCTGGGCTCCAGGTGTGTTTTGTTCGGAAGGACGCGTGCTTTCTGAAGGCTGCGGCGGGGCGGGGCGGCCGGGGCCGGGCCGGTGGCCGTGACCGGGGCGGCCCTCAGTCCAGGAAGCGCTGGCAGGCCTTCTTCCAGCGGCAGGCCGTGCACCACAGGTCTCGGTTCTCCATGCCGTACACCTTCCGGCACTTCTTGCCCTCTCCCCGAGGCTTCCTGCGGACAGGCGAGGACAGCGTGGTCAGTGGGGGGGACTCAGTGGGCATTTCGCGGGGGGCTCAACATCCCTCAAGAGACGGAGGACAGAGGTTACGAAACACAGCAGGGTTCTCCCCAGGTCAGGCTCTCACACGTGCCGGGTGGCTTCTCGGCCACCGCCCTGGGCCGTTCCACTGGCTCCTCTGACTCTTACGGTTCTACCTGTCCCCCTGCGGACATGACGTTGGCCGTCTGCATAGCAGGGAGTTAGACACGTGCGCACGGGAAATACCAGCAGAGAGCACTGCTCTCTCAAGCTTTCAAAGATGTCCTTTCAAGTGCTCTCTTGATCCTCAAATGTCTGGCACCCCGGTCGGGGGGACCTGGGAGGGGCCCCTTGCTCTGGGCTGGAAACTCTCCCTTGCAGTTCATTTCACGCAGGGGCCAAGGCAACAGGGCTTGAGGTGGACCCAGTCGTCACCACGGCCTATTCTGTAGAACTTACCTCGAACTGTTACAGCAAAGCGACAAATTTTCACTCATGGACAAAGGATGGGGAAACCATGGGACCCAAAGAAAGGGTGTCTCATGCCTTACGGGGAAGTTTTATGGAAGATCGTATCCCTGGTTTCTCTGTTTCTCGAATTTCCTCTGCCTTCCAGTTACTTCCTGTGAGGCGAGGCGTTCTGAGAAGTCCTACCTTAGGCTGACCGTCCCTCTGGGCGGCGAGGACAAGCCCGTGTGACCGTGCTGCCGCTGCTCCCCGGTGCCCACGGGGTGGTGATGTGTCGGCGACACCTGTGAGGACAGGGAGAGCAGAGTTGACGGGCAGGTTCTCTGCACCATGTTTCGCCTTTCCGACGTGGGCAGTGGTCCCTGACCGACCGTTAGACACGGGGGTGAAGCGCCTCCTTCACGTGTTAAAATGGATGGGGTGGTGCTCACGGCAGAATTCGAATGCATCTCCGACAGAAAAGACCCAGCGACAATGAATGCCTTAAAAACCCTCATGACTTCACAGCTATGCATCCAACTTGCCCACAGTCACATTTTCATTGGAATAATATTTTTAAAATTGATTTTGGAGAGAGAGAGAGAAACATTGATGTTCTGATCAGCTGCCTCCCGCACACACCCCGCCTGGGGATTGCACTGTAAGCTGGGTATGTGTTCTGACTGGGAATCGAACCCACCACCTTTTGGTGTATGGGGCGACGCTCCAACCAACTGGGCCATGCTGGCCAGGGCTTGAGCAATATTTTAAACCTTAGAGGATATTCCTATTTCAAGCCTCATGGATTCCCTTCTAAAGAAGAAAAAAATCGCCCGGCCAGAGTGGGTTCAGTCGCTGAATGCCCTCCTGTGCACTGAAAGGTTGCGGGTTTGATTCCCAGTCAGGGAGCGTGCAGAAAGCAACCGATCGATGTTTCTCTCTCCCTCTCTCTTCCTTCCTCTTAGCATGTCTTAGGGTGAGGATTCAAAAAAGAAAAAAGAAAAAATCTAGAGAGGTTAAGAGAGTTTATCTGAAATTATGCAGCTAGTCAGTGGCCACGACACCACGTGGCCCTTGGCCCTCTGTAACCTCCATTCTTGCACAAGACACCCACACAGCAACAAACCCATTCTGGGGTCCAAAAGGAACAAGGGGAAGAAGCCCAAAGCCTGAGCAATCAAGAATGAATTCACCCATGTAATACTTACTGGGCAGCACTGTGTGCCAGGTTTGCAAACAGCTTTAAGTTTCACAACTACCCTATGTAATAAGAACAACTACCGTTCCCATTTTATAGGAGGCACAAGGAAGTTAAATAACTTGTCCAACGTCATGGGCACTGAAATGGCAGGAGGGGCTGTCCTGAGCTCTACCCCCTTATGGCTCCACCTCCAGTTGTAACAAGAACAGGGTCCCCTCTGTTCTCCATTCCCCTTGGGAGTCTCACTTAGTCTCTTCGCATCACCTGCTCTCATAGCACTAAATATCTTCCCAACTCCCAGGATTCTCAAAAGCTGCCCCAAACTAATTTTCATAACAAAAGATAAATGTTTCAAGTAAATATATAATCTTTTTGTTACAAAAGAGCAGACATTTAATACATTTACAAATGTAATAATCTAGAAGCCAACATGGCCATAGAAATACCATTACCTGTTAACAGTCAAGGGGACATTCTTAAGGCAAGCTTACAGAACTGACTTTCTCTAGTTCAGGGACTAGTACATTCTATTTTCTTTCCGTGTAAAGGAGTGTATGCACATCCATGTTATTTCTCCAGACATTAATTTTAAAAAGATTAGACAAGTAACAAAAAACCTTAACATTTTAAACCACGGCTGCTATGGCTCTGAATTATTCTGTACCATTGGTCTTTATTTCTAAAAGACTTGAATGGAGTGGATGCATTTCATTTGGGTAGATATGTAGGTTCTTCCAGGAGCAAAATCCCCCCGACTGCCCATCCCCGACCAGGATACATAGCAGCAAACCAGGGGGAGTGACTGCTCTAGCTGCGCATGGCTGTGGTCTAGAATAATCTAGAATGATCTAGAATATACTCTGACTTGAATATCTAGAATATATCTGACTTGTTTTCAGTGATTAAGACAATAGAAAAAATTTAAAATTACTATAGAACTTGTAGAATCCCAAGCACATTTCCCTATTTAGTCAGAGAATTGAAAAGGTTTAGGTGACATGCCACTATTTCCATCAGCCTGGGATACTGTGGAAGGTTCTAAATTTTATAAAATTGCTGCCCCCTTTCGTATGAAGTAAGATGAGATTCCAGGATGCTCTTCATTCAACAGATATTTGTTAAGCACTGACTATGCACCAGGCATGTTCTAGGTTGTGGGGATAAAGCCCAGAGCAAAACAAAGTCTCTGTTCTCATGGAGCATACACTGTAAGTGGGGAGAGAGTCAATGAACACCAACATAATAAAACAGGGCAATGCGCAGCATGATAGAAGAAGGGCAGAACATTTATTTATTCAGGGTGGTGAGAGAAGGCCTCTCGAGGAGGCTACCTCTTATCTCCAGGGCACCCCAGAGAAAGGAGAGCCGTGACCAAAGCCTGTGGGTGCAGAGTGCCCAAGGGGGCTGTGGGGACTGCAAAGGGTGAAGGGAGGGAGGACAGGCCGTGTCAGATCCTGTCGTGTGATAAGAAATTTGAATGTTATTTTAAAGGCAAGAAGGGAAGCCATGAGAGTTTTAAGAAAGTGAGACTTCTGATTAATGCTTTGAAAAGATTGCTTTTGGTTGGCTCCTTGGAGAATGGCTTAGAGACAGCTGGAGAGGAGCCTGAGGACTGGTTCAGAGCTTTTGCAATGTTTG